CAATATCTCAATCCCTATTGATACCAAAATTAGGAAATTTTGGAAAATGGATTCAAAGCACTGCATTTGCTCACCATATGTAAAATATATTTCTTTGTCAAACTGATTACCAAGTAACTTGGGAACAGATTCAGACAGTCATACATTGCAGAGTATCATATGCAGGAAGAAGGCTAGATAATTTTAGCAAAACAAAAAAAAAAACTCAGTGGGATTACTGCTGTCATAACGTTGATCAAGTTTTCTTGATCTCAGGATTCAGTGAGCATGAGAAAAATACATCAGGTCCTGGATGTGAACACAGTCATAAAGACAGCCCATGACTATAGTCCTTGCAAACCTATCCCAGCTGCTTTCCTCAAACCAACAGACTTGATTGTTTCTTCTGTATCTTAAATATATGTAAATTTATCAAAGGGTCAGTAAACACTGAGATTTCTTTAAAGTAGATTTTGCCTTAATGAGAAGCTAACCAGTCAATGAGATTGGGGGGGGAAGGGAAGGGGCAGTCTGGTTTTTGTGACTGTTGGAGCCTCAGGCATCAGTGTACACATTCTCCCTCATTTACAGCTGAGTGTTTCAGCCTTTCTGCTTTTCTTTTCTCCTTTGTTATAAAAGTGTTGAGGTTCCAAATACATTATTTAAGATTAGTATGAAAATTTAATCTGAAGGAGGTTCTGGTTTTGCTATCCTAGAGCTTGCTATTACTTGGAAGACTTTTCTGCTGTTGTCATCTCCTCACTTCCCTTCTTCCCTCCTTTTATTATTATTTTTTTCTCACTCATCACCTTCCGTCAGCTCCAGTTATTGTAGGTAGGCTTCTATGACAAAAAGGTGCTTTAGGAAAGAGTTCTGAAAACGGTCAGAATAATTTTACAGTGGGGCGATCCCTGGGGGATTTCCTTTGTCTGTTCCTATTCACACACGAACAGAGCAGTAGAAATCATTGGGAATTCTTCTATTCCTATAGTGTAGCTCTCCCTTTGAAGATCTGGCTGTGGGTACGTTCATCTTATCCATACCGCTAAAACATACAGTGAGTGTCAGCACCAGAAGCTAACCCCCATTTGGAGCCAGTTAAATATATGTTGCTGATACAAAGCGCCTGATCCTGGTAGTCAAGCAGAATAATTGGCTACTTAGTACTTGGCTCATCTGATTTTCTACAGCATATAATCAAGATCTTATGGCTCCAGAAATTTAATTGAATGGAAACTCTGTAAGAGGTGCTAACTATGCTTTGAAGTTGCAACATGCTGACCATTCAAGAACCCGTAGAGTTTGCCAGGTAATAACATTAAACATTCACAGGAAAGCATATTTGAAGAAGTGTATTTTCCCAGAAGCAAAGGTTTCGAAGTCCCCAATTTACAACATGAGCTAGGTTGTCTTTCACCTCTGGATTCCTTTGTCTCAATTAATTGACACAATGGAAGTAAAAATCAGACTACTATTATCTATATGAGGAATTTCACCATTTTAAAATGAAGGGATGAAAGTCTTCTGTCATCTACCTGACCCACCACCTCCTGAAATACAGCTCTGCTTTGGAAAATTCTCCCAGTTTGTTGTCTTTTGCAAATCAGTGATGACCCTGGTTCTACAGTGTTTTGCTTTTACCAGTGTAAATCTGGAGCATCATCACTAATGTCAGCACGGAATCCAGGCCCTGGAACCTAAAGTGAGGTTTTTCATCTTTCTACACAATCATTAAAAGACCTCCTAAAAATAATAGTTTTGTAACTACAATCCAGCCCACTGAACTGAGTAAAGAACAGTGACAAAATTAGAGCAGAGTATTACAGAACAATCTGACGAGAATTGTTCTGAGACTTTTAGCTGGTGTACACTGCATCGGTATTATCAATTTCTGATCAGCTAGCAAAAGTACCTCACCCAGATATACCTAAGCAAGTCACTTTCATTTAATTTGCCTTCTGAAGGACATGACAGCATCTGTACATTTTGAGATGTAATTGCTGTTATCCTTCAGAGTTTTTTGAAACAAACACAATCATCCTCCTGAATTACTGACTTTCCATGACAATTTTTTGAGGTTGCATTGTTCTAAACTAATATCCTTCAGACAGATCCTGAATAATGTAAGAGGATAAAGCCCACATGAAAAAATCAAGAATTCAGAAATGAAATTTAAGCTGTCAAACTTTAACTTAGTTGATCTTTATTCCCTTAATATTCTTCAAACAAAACCCATTTCATTCTAGTTCATAAAGAACATTACCTTAGAGGCCATAAGATCTCTGAATTTTGTTCTAGGTCGACTTTTAAGTTAAAGCATTAGACACTAAAAAAATCCACATTCTAAGCAGCTATTATGAATTGGATATATGAACTGCTGCCAAACGTGTGCTCCCTCCTTTGTTTCGTTTTTTTTATGTTTGTGCAGAAGAAAACAATTTCAGATCCAGTCCTCAAACTAGATGTACAGGGGTAAAACAGCTTTTCTCTGCATGATTTAGAATGGAAAGACAAATTTCATAGAGGAGATCTTACCACTGCTCTGCTTTAGAAAAGTACCCGAACACATCCTTCAACCATATATAAAGTGCAACAGCAGTTCCTCTGGAAATATTTCTGAGTGTCACTTGTTTGCATATTAAAGAGTCTCACCATTCTCAGCAATATGACAGAGCATGTTTCAAGTTCTTAATTATTGCTTAGGGAAGCTTGAGAAGTATTATGCTTGCTGTAGAAATGCTGCAGAAATGGCTAGAAGGCCAAACTAATGGCCCTACACACATCGCTAAGGTGAGGCCTGAAGTACTATGCTGAATTCTGGCTCCTCTTCTGGATGTCAGCACACAGCGTATTTGTATCTGTGAACAAACTTTGGGTTTTCATGGCTATTTAAACGGCGAGGATCAGAGAAGAAAGAACATTGAAAATACTGATCCCCCAATTTATTAGTAACTCTTTAATGCTGAGCCAGAGCTGACAGCTAATGACCTCTAATTCCTTGACTGTTGTTCTGAAAGCGTCCCAGTCACGCAGCTGGCTTAGCGGTATTGGCTAAGCTCAGCCCAGTGGGAACGCCAGACCTCTCACTCTGGTGTCTTTCATTAACTCTAATCCCAGTTCCTAAAAGGTTTAGGGGATAGCGTTTGAACTAAAACCACCTCAGAGTACTTGGTTCCCTCCTTCTAATTCTGTTGAGTCTGCCACATCCAGACTGCCCTCAGAAGGGTACTTGTGAGGATAAGCATGCTAAAGAGAGCGATGTGCCGAGGTATCTCCATGAAAACATTGACATTGGAACCTCCCATGCAAGGAATTATTGGTTTTACTTACTTTTATTGTACTTCTGCAAGTGAGATGTGACCCTGGAGAGATAACAGTAGAAAGTGCTTCTACTGGCCTGTACCTGTAGGTCACAGATGATACTGGAAGTACTCAGATTCATTTGAGATTTAGATTGGGACCAGAGGCTATATGAGAGCTAAGACTTCAGATTCAGTGTTAGTACAACCCTCTTGAGGTATGTTCGCTGAGGTAATCCCACTTCCTCCCTACCCCAATTCTAATTTATGTGTGCATTTGCTTTTTTTGGAAAACTGAATGCCTTTTAAAGCAAAATATTTAGCAGGCAGTTTTAGCAACATATAGTGTATACAGTCAGTGTGCATACATTACAGCTGCACCAAGACAATAAAATGTAACAGAAGCTCCTCTGGAAATATTCCTGTCTCTGTATGTCAATAATCTGCATACTAAAGAGTCCCAAAGCACTCACTAGCATGATAGACTGGGCACTAAGTGGTGCCTAAGTAGCCCTTAAGACAATACACAGAAGAAGCTCTAGAAACATTATGCTCTACTATAAGAAAAAGCTCAGGAAGCAAGGACACCTCTCTTGTGGACTTTTAAGTCTATTATCTAAACCATTAAAAAATCAGATTTGATGCAATTTAGTTGAAGCTCAGATTAATGCAGGTTTAACTGGCCACACGGCAAACACAGCTTCTTGTAAACCAATTCCCTTAATTGTTTGAAAAAGGATTTTTTAATTATTAAGCTAATGCAGTTTAATTTCTGCAGGAAATGGAGCCGAATCCATCAGTGTGGATAAAACCTTTAAAGTGGGGTCTCAAAATTTAGAGAATAAAGTGAATAGAGACTTTGCTGGTTGCTAAGTGCAGTTCCACTGCCCAGTGAAAGAGACTTTGCTCACTTCACAAACAACCCTGGTGTTTATTCAGAATCATACTTGTGGGTACAGTCAAAGCTGTTCCTGCAGGACATGAACATAGCATGATACATGTAGTACGAGAACACCCAAGTATAAGAAATTAGGACCACTGGATCAGAGCTCTCCTGCTTCTGCCCCAGAATTCCAAGATGGGCAGAGTCCAGCATCAGCATGGGTGCCATAGCTGTTGGTCTATTAAAAAACATCCGTGTCACTGGAGTGAGCATCTAGGAAAGGCATTAACTGGCATTCTTAGCTTTGGAGTCTATACTGAGACTCTTAACAGAAGTATTTGATTCTTAGCAGGATAAACGTTAGGACTGTGATTTCAAGAGGAAGGATAACCCATCCATCCCTTGCACACGTCCACCAGCAGAAGCTCTATTTCTTTTAGGGACAGTCAGGATCATCTGCTAATGAACAGCTAACTTTGCTGTCCTCATAAGTTACCATAAAGGGTGACTGCTGGGCAAATGCCATTGCGAAGGTCACATGCTGAATCTGTGGAAGAAATTATATCGTTTTCTATGGGGTTTATGATGGGGACTTTAAGAGCAAAAGATGTTTACTCTTCAGAAAGGAGCAGACTAGGACCATCATTAGTTATGCTTTTCTGGCTTATCAGGCCTTTTAGCTGTTCTAAGCTGCATGTCTGTAAGGATTAACTAATACAAGGTGGAATTTCTTAGCCTGTATGGTCAGAAGGTGTAACCTTCACTTGATTTCCCCTTGCAGTGTGAGAGTATGCACTTTCTGTTGTTAGGCCACTAGAGATTTGTACTTAGCGTCCTACCTGCAATGGATTTGGTGAAGTAAGAGGAGATGGAAGGCCATGCCCTGGTGACTGGCTGGGTTTCTGAGGGGAGCTGGAGGACTGTGGGGCCGGAGGCAGTTGGCTCTGGCTATGGGACTGTGTTTGGTTCTGCTGTGGTGGCGCTGACGGCTGTGGCTGTGGCTGCTGGTTCTGCTGGGGTGGCTGTGGAGTCTGCGTCTGCTGACCTTGCTGCTGCTGCTGGCTTTGCTGCTGCTGTTGCTGCTGCTGACCTTGCTGCTGCTGCTGCTGTTGATGCTGGAGCTGCTGAAGATGCTGAAGCTGTTGAAGCTGGGAGTTCAGGGATGAGGTAGCTGTGAATTGAAGAGAAGGAAGGGAGTTATGTAGGTTTCAGTATTGCCTACTGTGTTAAAGATATTCTGGATTAAATTCTGGTTCTGTTACATTGCGGGGCACACTGCGCACTGAGGTCAGCTGGCCTCAGACTTCAGGTTGTGGCAGGAAATTAATGAACATGTTCCTATCACTAATAGCCAGTGCAGTTCTGCGGTAAGAGTTGGATTTTACTGGAGGCAATGAAAACAAACCTTCAGAAGGGCTACGGCTCTGCCCACAGGATAGGCCTCAGAGCTGACCAGCAGTCTTTGCTCAGACAAGTTTACCAGTGAAGCCAATGGGAATTTTGCCTGCCTAGAAAAGAGGCCAACAGGATGTCACTGTACATAGCATAGCAAGAACCCATAACATGAACTGGTGCTGTTATAGAGAGGAAGAGAAAACTATAGTTGTAAAATAAAGGATGCTCTGAAAAGAGCTTTGTCACATCTTTATACAGCAGGTGTCAGGAAATAAAACATTCAGCTGTGAAATTTCTTGTGCAATGCATAGGTACTAAAAATACCCAATAAAATGCGTGTGTCTCTGTAATTAGAACTGCTTCTTATCATTCACATCTAAAAGCTATAAAGTTCCTCTTGTGAAATAGAGTAGGTATTCTGTGCACTTGCACTGCTCACTTACTCCTGGTAGGAAAAGTCTGTCATGTTTTGCTAGTATGTGCTCCAAACGTGAGGCTTGGAAGCTGGTGGCTCACATCAACCTGCTTGCACAGAGGAGCAAACTTTATCTCCCAGAGACACTTTCAAATTGACTAGGGCATTCATTAAATTCAGGAAGGCAAGAAGTGTGCCACAGGGATGTCACTAAGGAAGAACAGCTTTAAGCAGCAGCCAGAACATTACAGGAGCCTGATGCTTTCTGGGGTTATGCCCTGAATAAGTCACCTGTCTCTCCACTCTAATCAACATCTTAGGGTTTGCGTTAGATGGCTATGAGATCCCAAGAGGAACGGCTTACAAGATCATTGCACTACTTTGCCCTCTGTACTGCTTTGCCAACACCATTCTGTATTATAATTTCCATCAGCAGAAGCCAAAGTAAACTAGGTGTGAATCAAATTTGTTATTTCTAAAATGGTATTCAGATTTCATGGCCAGAAACTCTGTTCACCAAGTTATTTGTGGATTGGCAGATAAAGCCAAGTCATCTCCACTTTCTTTTCATGTCGACATCCCTATTTCAGCTTTCCAGATGTCTATGCCCTGGGGATGAACCTGAGGTCTTGGTATGACTTATGAAAGCAATGAGCCATAAACTGGAATAAGCAAAAGAAAAAAGAAAAGAAAAAGGAGAAAGATGAGGCAGAATGAGTAAGCCAGAAAAAGCTATATGAAGGAAAAGTAAAAGGCTTGGTAGGAAGAGCTGTTGGTCATCTATTCCTATACTCATAGCTGCTCTAAATTTTCTTTGGCCTTGTGCAGGCCATTTCCTCACCTGTGATAGCTCAGCAGTCTGGACAAACCATTGATAAACAGAACCAAGACTTCAAACACAACATGCCCTTACCGCTTCCACAGTCTCCAATGTAGAAATGAATGCAATGACGCCCCACAGAAACATAACTTGTAGTACACACGGCTCAGAGAGAAGAACAAGGGGTCATTTTATATCCTGTGTGCACAACTCGACAGGATGAGACAAAACTTCCTCTATAGCAAACTAGATATAGTGGCGTTTTTTTGTACTGCAGTGGACCCCAAACCTTTTTGCTCCCACAGGGCACTCGTAAAGGCCATGGCTTGGAAAAATGGGTTTGTCAGAATGCCATCCATTGTACGTAGGGCACTGGGTCATGTAGTAGGGGACAGGCAAAAGCATTCGAGGTGGAGGGGAAGCCATCTACTGAAACATTTTTGGAGCACAGAATGCGTTTGGCTCCTTGAGGTACGTCTTTCAGCTAGAATTTGGAAAATATGGCCAATAATTAAAAGAATGCTGGAAGTATCAATCTGAGATAACACGAGGTAACATAGGACAGAGGGATCACTGTGATTCTGATAACATAAAAGTGCAAAAACAGGGCAGTGCAAAATTTTTGTCAATGATCTTATGATTGAATTTATGGTATGCAAAAAATATCTGTTGATATAATATTAAAGATAAAGGCATCACTGCCTGGACTTCTTAAAATGGTGACATACAAGACATGAGGAGAATAGAAAGAAGCCCAAAATTGTGAAATAAATGAAGTTTCTTGACAAACTAAAACAAATGAAGAGGTGGTTACATTACATTGCTAAAAGTCTATTATTTTGTGTGTTTGCATGTAGCTCAGAGCAATCAGAAGACTAGTATTTAATAATTATTAGTATTAGTGTTCACCACAGAGCATACGATATTCTTTCAGGATGCTTTCATTGAAATGTTGCCAGTGATATAAGAAGCCTTGCAAAAGGCTTACAGAGTCTAAAGCACAAATACGGATATACAGAAACAGTATTGATCTGTTTGTTTACCACCGGACAAAAATCCACACTTATTGAAATGCAGTTTTACTAAATGTATGCATCTGCTTTAGAAAGAAAGATTGCACATGTTGGGATTTACTTGCTAGAACAGTCATCCTAATGGTGTAGGCCTCAGTTTCATTAACGAGTCATGCCTTTGATAAGCTGTTGAATTACATTCTTAAAAATTGAATCTTCATTAAACTTCCAATTTCCACAAGACCAATACTCTGTTTAATGGACATCTTGATTTGCACATTCCTTCTTCTGGCAATATGTAAAAGAAGGGACAGAATCCAGAGGGAAGAAAAAGGGGAAAAAATGCCTCAAGAGCTTTTTTTTTAACCTAAAATTTTGCAGGTTCAGGTCTGACTGAGCTGCTAATGTAACTGATGTTGAATGGCCATCACCAACATACTTCTGTGCATTGACAATGTGAGGAGGTGCAATCACTCAGGCAACCTGACTTGTCTGATAAATGAAGAGGGGTCTGAAGTTGACTTGGAAAACATCAAGTTTGTAAATTCTGTGGGCATGCCCAGCACTCTCAGATGATGGCTTGATATGGAGATTTTTTCATTCCCCATCTAGGAGTCGAAAAGCTTTGTGTTCAGTACTGCTCAAAACTTGAATGTTGGCCGATGCAGGAATATCAATATCTCTACCATTCACTTCTGTACTGGAAGTGCACTCATTCTTGCTGGGGTGGAAGGTGGTCCCTCGCAGAAAATTTTGTTGATGAAGAAAAGTTACTTCATGGAAAAGTTTCCAAGTTCATTGCCAGCAACTGCACAAAATTATTCAGATAACTTCTTGTCTTTTCATATAATTCCTTTAAAATGCCTCTCCGAAGCCTACTATCATGCTGAGCTATAAATTGCATTGAAGTGGCTTAGTGAGGTATGATTGTTTAACATGCTGTTGCTAAACAAACAGACAGGGAATTGGAAGAAGGACTGTTAGATCAGACAAGGCTTTCCCAAAACCACACAGTAGGTGTACTGCAAAGGTGGATATAGGGCTCCGGATCATGCCTGCAGACCGGTGTTCACGCTGCCTGATTGCACTGCCTCTCACAATGTGTGTACTATCCACAGCAGGGGTTGTGTCATATTATTGTTTGTAATCAAATCCAATCCAACTCCCAGAGCTTGCTTGCATACCTCATCCATTATAAATCGTATACCTGTCTAGCATTTGTCACTTTCTGCAGAGCTTGGAGCCTGATGGAATTTCAGGTGGTACCACAGCGCTATGTCTGCATGTATAAAAGATAACACGCACTGCCTACCTCACAGGAATCTTTTTATGACTTACTGGCTAACAGCTGGGTAAAACTTGAAATATTTAAGTGAGAAGTGCCTACTTTCTTTCAGAATTGCATTAAAGAATTAAAAAAGCTTGCAAAAAATTGCAAAAAAGTTCCTTCTGTGGTTAAAAAAGACAACATAAAGTACATAACTTTAAAAGGGAGATAATTAACTAAAAAATGCATGCAAGCTATGAAAAACTGTGAGGAAAATCCACAAACTCTGAGTGACATTTCAACTTTCCTCAACAAAAATACATGTTGAATATACACCAGGTATCCAAGAAGCTGGTAAGAAGAACTTATACCTACAAGGAAACAACGGCATAAGGGGTTTTCAAACTTAAGTTTTAACTATAATTTCTTAGTTGCTGCAGTGCCATGGCAGACTTCTCAAGGGATTGCCCCATGTTTTATGATCCTACTTTAAGCAGATTATGCTTAGCCACAGTTTCAAATAATTTACATTAGAAAAAGAGATGTGGAGTTAAGTGGTGCAAATGGATGGTCAAGAGGCAGCGAAAGCAAACTTTCTCATCTCCCAGGTCACCTACTTCTATACTTGTCACAGATCTCAGACTACTTTAAGGACTTAGAGAAAGTTATGATCTAAGGAACACACTCTCGACTTCCTTTGGGGAATACCTTAGGCACAATGCTGCTATACATTTACAAGATTTACATAAAATGTTGTCTTTTCATGTTTTCCTTATGTCTTCTGTTCCTCTGCTGCTTACCTACACAGGAAACTGAAATGAAACTAAAATGCCCCTCTGTCAAGTAGAGTGGTGCAACCGGAAACATTCACCTCTGATGCAACCATGCTTGAAAGCAGCAGTCTGATCCATGAGAGGGAGAATGAGTGAATCATTTTCTCAGCAGGAAAACTGAAAAGGCTCTGTCTTCAAATCCCAATCCGGGTTGTATTCACTGAAAGTAGTATCAACTGCCTGCTAACATTATTGCATAAGTATGGGAATAGCTCTAGTTATATTTTAAATAAAAGTATACATTTGAAAGTTTAATCACATTTCTCCAAAAAGCAAGGAACATATGTAAGCCCAAAAATGATTATATAATAAAAACAGTGTAAAAATTGTAACTCTTTTTTCACCTCTCATTCACAATATAAACTCAGATTCTTAAGACCTCTACAGTGCTTGGCAGAAGATCAAATTAATGTTCAGGGATTCAATTT